AGCCACAAGGGGCTCCCCCTCCCCCTTAGAAAACCAGCATTGAATGTAATAAAGGGCCAATTTCTGGACGAGCTCCAGTGACTTCCTGATTCCTCCCTGTCCCTTCCGGGTCAAAAGTTGGGAGTGTTTTATGCATGCTTCTGTTCTAAAACTGACTGCTTGAACCAGTGGACACTGTGAGCCTCGGGCACCCTTTCCTAACAGGTGGGGGGAATGAGCACTTGCTTGTTTCATGAGATTCAATAGTTTCTTTACAGTGTTTGGGGGAGTTCATTTGGCTGGTTGTAAGGTTTTTGGCTCTTTTTGAACCCAGAAGTGGTTCACTGACTTTTTGGGTGCCTTCCCTGATGAGGTGCCAGAGTATCACCTGCTCCCTGCACCTCTTGTGAGTGAGCCACATCTGGCTCTGGTCCCTGGTAGACTGAACTGAACTCTGCAGCTGAAGCTATCCAGTAGCTGGCAGCCATCCCAGTGAGATAGCTTCAGGAAGCCACTGGGGCTTACCCACAAATTTGTATTTCATTACAAATCAGTGCTGGTTTTTTATATACCTGAGCCAACGCCATTGTTTTTAGCTGACATCCCTCTAGTGTGCAGGAAAAAATTTCAAGCTTTTATATTTATTTTTTTTATTTTTTTTATTTTCTTTAATATTGTTTGCCCAGATCGCAGGAAATTATAAAACAAAAAAAAATTGTAGCTTAATTTAACCATGGTGAAGCCCTGAAGTGAGGCATTTCATGAGTGTTCATTCAGCATTGACCCCGGAAGGTGTGTGCAGCTCCGCTGTGGTATGAGAGTTGCTGCAAAGATATTTTTAGATATTTATTTCAGTGTGTCTGATTTATTTTTTCTTTGGATTTTTCCCCAGTCATATTATTCAGTAGCTTGTCATTTGAGAAATTTATAATAAAATGGGTGGAAAATTTAAATGTTCAGATATATTCATGTCACTAATATGTGCAAAATATTATTTGATTAGAAGAATAAACATACAGTTTTTGCTGTTTTTTCACTATATACACACACAATATATACCTACATTTTAACACTTTCGTTCTGGAGGGGCCAATATGACGTCCAAAATTAACTCTGCGGGTGTTCGGGAGGGACGTAGCCGACATCTAAATTTAATAAATTTGTTCAAATTATATTTTTTATCTGATCATTTTGGGACGTGTTTTAAACATTGTGCCAATGCCTTCCCATTATCTGTTATGGGCCATGTTGCATTGAGGCAAGAGGCATTGATTGCCATGTGCCAATCACTCTCTTGAATTTTTACAGTTATTTATTACACAAGATTTTTTGCAATATTTTATATATGAAACAAACTTGTATGCATCACAAAGCAACTGCAATGCTTCTAGCACCTCAAGATATAAGTGGGATGAATTGAGCGTAAAAGAGCTTGTCAGGTATTTTGGACTGACAATGTTGATGGGTATTATGAAGTTGCTAGCAATGAGAATGTACTGGCAAACAGGTTAAATGTGGCATGTACCTTGTTTCAATACTTTTATGACGTCAAAACGATATGTATTGATTGCAAGTTACAGGGATACCCGCAGTTTTTGTCGTTAATCCATTCCCAGACATGGTACGAAAACCGAAAAACGAAAACTGAAATGAATTTTTGAATAAGAAATAATGTAAATTTAATTTAATCTATTCCACACCCCCAAATATATTAACTAAAAAATACATTTTATACTGAATAATACTCTTAGGTACCTTACCTCTATTGAGGACTCTTGTTGGCATATGCCAGGCAGTGAGGAAGGGAGGAGGAGAGATGTTAGTGTTTGAACGGGGAGTCCCCCTTGCATTATAACAGCAGTGATGACATTTCTGGGGTACTCTCTCTCTCTCTCTTACGTTTTGCAGGCATACCACTGGGACCTGGTTATGACTCACTGCTTGCTTGTCTTACTAAGGATTTGTCTATAAACACTTGTTTTTCCCTATGTTTTAACACTTGTCTGTAGTGAGACGTCACATTGTCTCGCTATGAATGATCTCTTGTTTTTCCTCTATCATCATCCTCACAACTATTTTCTTAGGTTGAACTTAACCACTGACACTCTTGGAACCCATGGCATGATATATAAGAACTTTTATGTTCAGAAACCTGCGGGCCTGCGGGCCGCTCCAAGCAACAGCCTGGTGGACCAAACTCTCACAAGTCAAGCCTGGCCTCGGGCTGGGCTTGGGGAGTAGAAGAACTCCCAGACCCCCATCAACCAGGTATCAAACCAAAAGAGCACAAAAAAATGAAATTCTTCACAAAGAATTCAAGGGCGATCATCACTAGGCGGAAGACACTGGTAAACTGAAGCGCCACACTCCTGGTGGACCAGTACATGTATGAACAAACTCCGAGTACCGAGGCAAACAATGAGTACCGAATCCAATTTTTCAGAGAAATTGAGTACGAGTACCGAAAAATACAAGAACAGGGGCATACGAAAGCTGAGGTTCCACTGTATTTTCATACTTATAACAATAATGCCATTCCCAAAGACAAATAAGACAGAAAAATCAAAGTTAGAACATTCATGGAATATCTCAAAAATAAATAAAAAAAACATTATACATTCCGCCAAAAAATCTGTGTTTGGATGAAGGTACAATGTCGTGGAGGGGCCGACTAGCTCTCAAGGTTTATAATCCAAATAATCCTGATAAGTATGGAGTGAAGCTGTACATGCTAGCTGAATCCAAAAGTGGTTACATCTATCATTTTGAGGTGTATGCAAGAATTGGGAAGACAACGATTGAAACAGTTATGGGTTTGATGGAACCACTGAAGAACAAAGGTTACCATTTATTTATGGATAACTACTATAACTGTTAAACTGAGTGAAAAGCTTCTTGAAGGAGGTGTATACACCTGTGATACTCTCAGATTGCAGCGTGGTGCACCAATAGATCTTCAGCTTCAAGCAAAGGGTAAACTATCAGTAGATAAAACAGTATTCCGGCATAAGAACAATACTTTTATAATTCTGTGGAAAGATAAGCGAGTTGTTTCACTCATCACAACTTGCCACAATGCAGATACACAGGAAGTGGAATGAAGGAAACGTGTATGCAAACCTGACGGAACATTTTCATTGCAACAGATCACTGTGAACAAACCAAATGCAATCAGTGACTACAATAACAACATGAAAGGTGTTGATCACTTCAACCAAATGGTCAAATATTATCATTTCGCACAGAAATGTCGCAAGTGGACGAAGAAAATCACGTTCTACTTTACGTAAATGGCTATCCACAATGCTTTTGCGTTATACCAGTACTACACAACCGATACAAAGAAACTCACATTGCTACAGTTCCGTGAAGTCATCATTTGGTCACTAATATACACGTGGAAGATACTGGAGGGCCAAGTACCAAATCTACACAATAAAATAACAATGAACTGGAGTGAATGATATGGAAGAAAATGCAGAATAGAACCAGTGAAGAGCAGGGGTGCCATAGGCACAATCAAAATACACTGCATAAACATCAGAGGTCTACCGTTATTCAACACCCTCCCAGCGAGCATAAGAAATATTGCCGGAACAACCGTGGACATCTTCAAGAGAAAACTAGATAGTTTTCTTCAAGGAGTGCTGGACCAACCGGGCTGTGGTGGGTATGTGGGCCTGCGGGCCGCTCCAGGCAACAGCCTGGTGGACCAAACTCTCACAAGTCAAGCCTGGCCTCGGTCCGAGCTTGGGGAGTAGAACAACTCCCAGAACCCCATCAACCAGGTATCAACCAGGTAAGTCTAAGCACAGCATAGCAACATGGTCAATCACCAGATGATTGCACTTAATACAGCAAAATGCCTCCAATGTCCTACTTATGTAGCTATTATTCCTCTGTAACATTGCTATTATCATCAGATTCTTGTCACTAAATCATGAATGTGAATAATTTTCCACAAGTTGATTTTCTAAAGGAACATAAGATCACATTTCATGATACATAGATGCATGAAACCACAGGTGTGGTGTGTGAATGTCTGTATCCCGCTGTGAACATCATAACAAGCTTTGCATTCAAAATATCTGAACCTTGAACCTTTATCTCACTCAGTTTCTTCTATGATACTATCAACACAATAATTGGTTATTTATTTCATGCATTATTAATTAACACTTTCGGTACCCGATGCCGAAATGTCCGTCAAAAAACAAAACTACGGAGTGAGCGGCATGATGCGAACAGCATAAATAATTTTAACAAAATTAAAAAATTCCATTTATTGTCCGAATACTATGGGACTTGTTTTAAAATGCATGCCAACGTGTTCCCATTCTCTTCAGACACCACGTGGAATGAATAATGACAATAAGCAAAAACAAAAAGCAGGTGTTTTTTATGTAATGATGTATTTTATCTTATGGTATTGGTAACGTTGTTCTAATATTTGTTCTTGTATGCAAATATTCCTTTAGAGCATTCTATTGCGAACAATTTTATTCAAATTGAACGACGTAGCACGAGAATTGTGGTGAAAAGGCTGAAAAGAGTATAACAAATTTTGTGTAGTGGTGAGCTCTCGGCCTAGTTTGTGGTGTATGGCGGGTCTGAAGTATGGGAAAGTGAGACGTGTGTGTTTTTATAAGCACATATTCCTTTGGAGCATTCTATTGTGAACAATTTGCGATAGCGTTAAGTAATGGTGTTGGCACAAGCTGCATGGTGGGCTGCTGCAGCATGCACTACCCACAATTTCCCATTCAATTGCACATCCATGAGAGGTGTCTTGACTGGAGGCCTAAGGAAACAAATGTGAGCCCTGTCTATACACAGTGCTTTTAAATCTTACGCATTAATGTGAACCATCCGTTTGACTCGCACAGTATAGTCAGATATCCCATGATCATCCCTCTTTGATGCAAGCTGCTGAAGGGTTAATGACCCTAAAGCTTTAAGTTTTCTCATCAAATCCTGGATTCTTAACTTTCCTAATACAATTAATTTTTTTTATCTTACAGATACCCGATAACATCTTGGAAAATGTATCGGCTCACCTTCGCCAGCTGCGAGATGTTCCTACACGGCTTGACCATTACCCAGAGGACTACGTTACTAACTTCCCCAAAGTATTTGATTGGCCTACAGAACATGTTATTCAGTAGTTGTGACATAATAGCAATCAGTCTCTCATAATAGCAAACATAGTCAAGAGGAAAAAGTGTTATTAACCATGTAAGACAGCATTGCCAAGAGGAAAAAGTGTTGTTAACCAAGTAAGACAGCATTGTGTTCTACACCAACACTCCATAACATATATCCAAATCTAAGGCTAATAAAGATTGTCAGACATTAACCACAAAACTGTTCTCAAAATTGGGTGCCGATGTCATGTTAGACCCATCCACTGGTCTTTACTGGGTAGGTATTGCCATCAACCTATATTACAGTATTTGTTAACAAGCTACACTGCCGTCAATGTCATTTGCAACATGAATTATGGTACATTATAATCTTCTAAAGGCATTTTAATTCTGGCATCTATACTATCTTCTGGAGCCATCTATATTTGTGTTAAATTTATTGATATAAAGTACTGTACAGTATAATGGTGTATAAGGTGACAAGTGAATTTATCAAAAAGAGGCAGTTTGACTACGTACTTGTAAATATTTATAATAAAATCATTGCCTTGAAAAAAGCTTTTGTAATCCAATTTAAGAGTTTGGAAATTTTACAGCATTATCATCATTTGATGGATTTTATTTAGATGTTTGGTTATACTGGATTTATACAAAGCTGAAATATAAGCAATGCAAAACAAATGTTTAAGCATCATTAGTCATATGTAATAGCTGAATAGGTGAAGTTTTATGCATACCTGATTTATCACTTTATTGTCATCTAGTTTGAGGAGAGATGATGCCTCTAAAGCAATGTTGCCTTATGAACCAATCAGGTTATGACCATTGTTTCTATCCTTCAAATATAATAAATAAATATATAATATATATATATATATATATATATATATATATATATATATATATATATATATATATATATATATATATATATATATATATATATATATATATATGTCGTACCTAATAGCCAGAACGCACTTCTCAGCCTACTATTCAAGGCCCGATTTGCCTAATTAGCCAAGTTTTCATGAATTAATGTTTTTTCGTCTACCTAACCTACCTAACCTAACCTAACCTAGCTTTTTTTGGCTACCTAACCTAACCTTACCTATAAATATAGATTAGGTTAGGTTAGGTAGGGTTGGTTAGGTTCGGTCATATATCTACGTTAATTTTAACTCCAATAAAAAGAATTGACCTCATACATAGAGAAAAGGGTTGCTTTATCATTTCATAAGAAAAAAATTATTGTAAATATATTAATTCAGGAAAACTTGGCTTATTAGGCAAATCGGGCCTTGAATAGTAGGCTGAGAAGTGAGTTCTGGCTACTAGGTACGACATATATATATATATATATATATATATATAATACCTGGGATCTGTCATTAATAAATGAAGATTTTTTTCCGAAAATGTAAGTTGAACACAATGGAAGACCCTGGTTAGGAGAGATGTTGCTTTAGGCAAAGAGAGAGAATGCTAATATTTACCATTGTGTATAGATATGAGATGCTGATCATAAACCTATGATCATGGTCATAAAAATTCAAAAGGTTAAAATAGGCATGGATAATCTCGGATACATTGATGTTATTAGAAGAGCTAATCCTACACATGTCTCCCAGCAAGCCAACTTAGGACTGGGAAAGCCTTGATATAGAAGGGAGTCTAGTTGAACTTTAACAAAACCTTCAGGTCTTCAGGAAGAAAGTAGCCTGCAGGAATGAAGACCTGAAGTCCTGGGTTCGTACAGATCCTGGGAGCGTTTCGCTGAAAGTGAGTCCTGAGCACAGTTAGCGCACCCAAGTTCTCAGCCTGTATTAGCAATGCAATAGAGGGGGAAACTTCATGAAGTCTTCCACTCTTCAGGGTGCGAATCCCAAGCAGTCTCACCCAGGACATCAAAGATTCTGTCACTGTTGGCAGCAGCCTGGAACCTGCTACCTCCATATCCTCGACACCACATTTAAATCCTAGCCAAGAACTTTGTTGTTCCAGATTAAGATCAAAAGTGAAGCCACTTGTTACCTACATCATAAGCCCTAGAGTGAAACCAACATTTCACTCTACAGAACAAACAAAAGAAGGATTGCAGGAAACAGAAGTCAAGTAAGTAATTATCAAAAGAAGGCACCACGCCGGGAAGGCTATGTATCACCATCAAATGTGCAGAATAATCAGAGGGCACTACATATCACTAAGGATGCCAATATGAGAACAGACACACATAAGGCGAACAATATCAAAAGTATCCAATTCACCAAGAATTCTATCAAGGGACAAGTGACCATGAGGGAGGGTCGGGAAGCAGGACACACGTTCGTCCTGAAAGTCAGGACATTCAACAAGGATATGCACAACTGTAAGAGGGACAATGCAGTTTGGACAATAAGGAGCAGGGTGGTGCTCGTTAGTTCAAGTGTGTATGACCAATACACAACCTTGAACAACCTTGCCAACGGGAAAGGATGGAGGATTGAATAACTGGGTAAAAATCAGAATAAGGAATTACCTTTACTGGGAGATGGGACAAATGCGAATAGCTTCCTTAGCAGCAGCGTCCGTACATTCTTCTAGGAACACACCAATATGGCTGGGAACTAAGCAAAACTTCTTTCTTAAATTCTTAAATCTACTGGAGATAAGAAACAGCCAATGCTGAATTTCGACTACACCGGATGGACTGGATTAAAGAACTCCAGAGCCATGAGGGCACTGCGAGACAACTACAACAAAGGAGGACTGACAACGAGAAAACAGTAGATGAAGAGCAAAGAGAATAGCATAAAGTTCTGCAGTGAAGATGGTAGTCTCTGGAGGCAGGCAACACACACAGGTGTGGTCAGGAAAAACAACAGAGTAGCCTACACCGTCTGCAGACTTAGACCCATCGGTGAGCAGGAATAGAGGGGCATGGTAAGAAAAGTGTTCAAGGAAAAGGTGTTTCGGAACTGTAGGAGGGGTAAAAGCTTTAGTCATTCGGGTCAGGGTTTTACAAAATTTAGGAAGGGGGAACCCTCCACGGAGGCAAGGACGGAACAACATGAGGAACATAAGTCAAGTTCTCAAAGAGTCCATGCAATCTACCATCCTGAGAATCAACACCAAGTAGACATTTGCATGTCTTAATGTTCCATGGTCAACTGCTAGGAGACCAGTGGCAGGGAAAACAAGAACCTGGTCTACTCTTATCCAATCACTAGAGAGCTTGACAAGCAGCAACTTCCTATGGCAAGCTCCCTACCATTATTGGTAATTGCATTATCAGGAATTAAGAAAAATTAAAAAACACAAATATTAAAATCTTTTTGGGTTTCATACACACCAGGAGATGGAGTCATTTGGCTTGTGGATGGTGGCAGCATATATTATTTGCTGACAAGCTAAGTCAAGGAGTGAGCTGTGATAATCATGTAAGAGGGTTTATATGGTTGTTTCACTTTAGTTTACATAATCAGTAGAATAACTATGGTGCCCATATCTCAAAAACACATCAATAAACTGAAAAGGTGCAAAGGCATGCTACAAAATGGCTTCCGGAACTGAAAAACGAGTTACGAAGAGAGGCTAGAGGTGTTAAATATGCCAAAGATAGACGAAGAGAGGTGATATGATCACCACTTACAAAATGAAGATGGGAATCGACCAATTTGAAAGCAGTTTCAGAGGAATTCCTGAAACCAGCAACATCAAGAACAAGAGGTCACAGATTCAAGCTAAGGAAACAAAGATGCCAAAAGAAATTAGCAAGTTTTCTTTTGCAAACATTGTGGTAGACGGTTGGCACAAGTTAAGTGAGGTGGTGGTGGTGGTGGCCAAAACCGTCAGTAGTTTCAAAGCATTATACGACAGAATACTGGGAAGACAGCACACCACGAGCATCTCTTATCCTGAACTACACTTAGATAATTACACATACAATATATACATTACTTTAACCATATTGTATTTACAGTTCATGTATTTATATAAAAATTGGGTGATAACTAAAATCAACATATTAATACAATGATATCCACTTTATCCAGGGGAACAATCTCTGTATCCACAGATTACTGTATCCAAGCATAGAGACCTCATTTCCAGAAAGACATAGCTACTCTGGAGAAGGTGCAACACCAGGCAACAAAAGTCATTCTAGAGCCAAGTCATCTCTTGTAGCAGGAACGGCTGAGGGCCACAGGGCTAACAACACTACAAACCAGGCATGATAGGGCAGATCTCATTTAAACTTTTTAAATATTGAGCAAGTTAGAGGATGTTGATCTGGATATTTTCTTCAGAAGGTCATATGCAACAGAAACAAAGAGCAATGGTTTCAAACTCAACAAACCACAATGTAGTACTGAGAACAGGAGATGCTTTTTCACCCACAGGATTATTAACCCGTGGAACAGCCTACCCGTCGAAGCTGTAGCTGCTAAAACTGTTTTGAGTTTAAAAATATACCTAGAAAAGATCAAGGCAAATGCGGGACGCCAGCTTTCTGTCCTCGTCGAGGCCACTAGGGTTTGTGGCCATCAGGTAAAAATCTGGTGTGACGATAACCTCCTGGACTGAGCACTAGTTACAGTAGGCATTATCTGTATGTGCACAGAAGAATAGTATTCAAAACAAGGTTTTTGTTTTCCTATATTCTTTACCCCTGTGTTAAAAAAAATGAAGGTAACTACATGACTAGTGATAAAATACATAAAATAATTTTTGTTAATTGATCAGTGAGTTTTCTATGACTGCAACTATTAATGTTGAACCCTTCTGTGGAAATCTTTAAAACATTTTGAGCAATTTTAAAGGAGATAGCCTTCATATCCTATCATTGCTCATGCTCTGAGCAAAATCTAAATTTCAACCAGCCATTATGGATATTTACCAGAACCAGATTATAGTTTTTCACTTATCTCCAGTCTTTCCAACAGCCCCTATGTTTCAGACATGTGCCATCACTCCTCTTTAACCAGGTGAACAAAACAAATGTGAACAGGTCATACAATATTTCCGAAAACAATACCATTAGCATTTTCATGACAAATGTTTAAAAAATTTTAATTTTCTTAGTATTTTCTGGAACCCTCCCTAAGTTACATGTGCCTACTGAGAACCAGGACTAATATCAAGTGCCACTTTTCCCCCACCCATTACACACTTTTGATTTGGGTCAAAGAAAAACAAAAACAAAGGTAGGGCACCCCAAAATAAGTATTTGTGTAAAATACATTTGTAACCCTGATGCAAACTATGTACACTCTTCCAGTATGCATAGTTTGCTAGTTAACAAGACTCGCTTATCACCAGATGTCGGCCCAGGTGACTCAAGGTCCCAGCAAGCTGCCTTTATCAGTCATGAGGCTGGTATTGTTTTGCAAATCTCCCAAGTGCCCTTCCTGGCTTCATATTTCAGCTAAGTGTTGGCTTTCCTTTTGAGTCTGTCCCATGTAGTGGACTTCTTGTTCCATCTCTGCATCATCTGCATGTTTTTTCTATCCTCAATGTTGCATAAGCCAACAGTCGAGTAGTGCATGGGCTTTGGCGTCTCTGTGGGGCCCAGTGG